CGTTCTGTCAGACAAGTCGCGTCAATTCGGTGTGCATTAGCATCCGTTTCAGAGACACAAGACGTATGCTCATCAATAGCATCGTCATCACACAACACTGTAGACTGGCCGTTACCATCAAACACTTTCTTCTCATCATCACTCGACTGACAGTCAACCGGAATATGAACAGTTACAGTTGCAAAACCTTGTGCATCTTCAATCAACTTAACATTCGTGACGAGGTCCGATGACGTCGAAACACTAGGAGGCTCATTCGATGAAGTTGATAGACTAGTCACTATAAGTGGACTGCTGACACTTTCTATCTCCTTATTATCACTGTCACTACTAAGGTTCTGATGGCTACTATTTCCATGGCTAGTCGTAGCATCCGAAAGAGCATGAGGTTTAGGCTTCTTAGTAATAGTAGCATCATGTCTCCTAGGCTTCTTAGCCGTTACTGTACCACCATCACTTATCCTAGAATCTACTCTAGGTCCAGTTATATAATTTACCCTAACTGAAGGGTTCCGAAAATAAGCTTTATTCCGTTCAGTCAATCCTGCCTGGGCCTTATTCATATTTGCTGAACTCATTAACCTCTGATTACTCGAATCCAAATAACCGTTCCAGGCTTTTCGAGCAGCTAAGAGGCTTTTATCATCACACACTTCGGATCCATCTTGATGCCTACACTTTTCACCTTTTTCTTTCTTTTCCATACTTAGAAAAGCCATCTTATCTGTTACACCAACCGGCTTCTTACTAGGATACGCATCAAGAGGTTTTACATCGTTACGGTCACATACTCGTCCTTCATCAGCGTATGCTTTCGTGATATAATTGACAACTCTTTTATCTTCCGAGCGTGCTTTAGGTAGAAACGAAAAATCCTCATGTCTCGCACGCAGACCACTAGTAGCTTCCGTATTATTTCCTGTTTTAGCCTGATAAGCTAATCTTCCAAACCTACTACTAGCTATCTTAGCACGAGACATAATGAATTCCGTCAATTCATTGAAATTAGGCTCTCTCTCCTCTTCGTCCCACTTGATTACTAGCTCTGCCCACTGGGCTTGCATTCGACGAGGTAAGAGCCTGACTATTCGTTCTAAAGTAACCATGGAATTAAGTTCCGTTGTGCAATTTAGCTGTTCTAAAGTTAAAGCAGCATTCTGCATTTTAATAGCCAAGTTCGTCAATGATTCAGGATCATTGAAATGTACATTCCCAGTTCTAAATAAATCCTGTAAGGTTTCTCGGGCTATTACATGCGACTGTCCAAAGAGCTGTTTTAAAATGGCCTTAGCTCTCTTATATCCTGCTTGTGGATCCATAATAATACAGCCTTCAATCGCATTTTTTGCTTTTCCCTTACAATAATGAATTAAATACAATAAACGCACTTGATCGTCTTTTATTCGAGGTTCTATAAACGTTTCAATTTGTCGCATGAACCTAAAATAGTCGCGAGACCTTCCATCAAAAAATGAGAGTTCAACCTTAGGTAGTTCTAAACCCTCTATCGATGACTTACAATAATAAATATCAGACATAACATGTGGGTTACCCATAAAAAGGTTATCATTAACGACTTGCCTAGAGCCCTGTGATCCGTCGAGCTCTTCCACCCTCCTCATGTGTGTTTTTTTCTGTTTGACATCATAAATGAAGTTCAAAAGAAAAGGTAACAAATACAAATTATAGTAATTCCACAGTTCAGCTTCGGAATATGATAAATAATCCAACTTCTTCCTCCAAGAAGGTCTAGTGGGATAAACGATTAAAATTCCAAATGTTTCTTTATAATTCTTAATAATCCAACTGTAATCGTAATAGAATTATATCCAGACTGTAAATTTATTTCTGCAGTGGCCGTCCCAATTGGTTCCAATAGAGGCACTCCTGTACGCTTCTCCCAGCTCCGGGTCCCAACCAATTCAAAAAGGACAAAATTCTAGGAGAAAACGTCTCTGTATTAGTTAAAAATGGAAATACAAAGCATTACGGATATAGTGCTTCTTCCAGGGTAAAGTTACTCCGCAGAGTATCCGACACAATAACAAATAAGTGACGCTAAGTCCAGCGGCCACTGTGTCCGTCCAAAAATATGGCGGTAGCCATATTATATCAAATTTAAACAACATATGTACAGTTCAGAAGCAACACAAAAACTTCAATATAAGTACAAAATATAGAAAGAATAACAATATACAATGATAAAATCTCAAATTGGAATCAAATAAAATACCAAAAATGTCAACAGAAAAAGTCCGTCATGTCATAGCAAAAATATGTAAACATGGAGGGATTTTCCAAAACACAAAACATTCAAAAAGGATTCTACACACAATACTGAAGCAAATAGTTTAACCTAGATCGAAATCCAACGCTTAATTCATAACAGTCTTCGATGTTCTATATGAAACTGCAATAGATCATGCGATTACCGTCAAACCTTTTGATCTATCTGTCTAAAGCTTTAGATGTCATTGTCATCCAGCCCTTTCCAGGATTAACATCGGCTGTACTTAAGGCAGAGGTATACTCGTAAGGCACAAGCTTGTCATCCACAACTTGATTACAATATTCTTTTCCCCTTTGACGTAACTGTTTTAACTCAATTTGTCTTTCTGTCTGAGCCAGAGGTGCTTCAGCTAATTTTAGCTTCAACAAGGGATCCATTCGCAAGCTGTTTCCTCCAAACTGGTCTTCACTGCGAGTTTTGGAGCAGTGGGGAGAAAATTCAGGAATCTGATCAGTGGACATTTAAAAGTACTCAATGTATGAATTTCTGATGATTATTGGTCGAAACTTTGTAGGATTTAATTCGTCATATGGATGTACTGTTCTAACTTTGAACGCAATATTGGGGAATACTGAGTCGGTGGGAAGGCTGTAGTTGGACCAAGGACAACTTCGCTTTAAACTTTATTTGTTTCTAAACATAAAAACAATTAGAATAATGAAATAGTTAAGGAAATTACAGTTATCATGTAAAACGAGCAAATATACTGACTAATATAGCGTGTCTTATGGAAATGAATAAATTTATGAGTCACATCAATATAATAAGATAATAATGTCCTTCAATTAGTATGTCATTTACAACAAAGTTTACAGACACGTCAGATCAGATTACGCGGTGAGCGCTTAAACCATGATTTGATTGGTTACTTATGGAAGTAATTGACAGCCTATCATTCCTAGATGTACCAATCACCACAACTAACACAAGAAAACTGGAGACTCAGACATTTCGGAAGTCAACCCACACAGACCTAATTCTCAACTACGGAAGCAACAACCCAAGAACCCGCAAAATAAACTACATACAAACTTTGTTCAGTAGAGAGAAGTCACACTGTAACACATATGAAGCACTAAGAAATAAGGAAGAGCATCTTATGACTGTCCTACGAAAGACTGGCTATCCATGCAACTTCATCAAAAAACATCAACTGAAATCGTCAACAGAAGCGAAATCAAGTAAAGGAACCAATAAACGGGTCATCCTACCATACATAAAAGATATATCGGAGCATACAGCAAGACTAGTGAAACCATTTGGAGTAGGTGGGGCACACAAACCAAGAGAACCACTTCAATCAATCCTAAGTAGACCAAAGGACACAATGACAACGGAAAGAAAACCAAATATCATCTAAAAAATAAACTGCTCAGACTGTGAAAAACACTACACGGGACAAAGTGGACGGCCTATTCACCTTCGTTTACGTGAACACCAAACGCCACGACAATTCTTCGCTTAAATCAATACACATCGACTATTATGGACATACATTCAATTGGAACAGTGTTGAAATACTGGATAGGGAGAGGACGAAGAATAATAGAGAATTTGCAGAGGCTTGATACTCAGATCAATCAGCAATTTGGAATCTCAACTGCGGGTAACTCAGTGTCAAGCGAGGACTGAATTCTTATGAGTTCAAAAGAATGTTAAAATCATTTAAACGGGGTTTTCGATTTGTTTGAAATATCCCTTCTTTTCCCTGTCATCCGATGAAATTAACCAAAAGCTTGGGCCGTTTAGTTAAAACGTTCCTTAGGAAGAATGGAAAGTCAAGTGGCACCGGTTAACTCATTCTGATGTACAGATACTCAGTAGATGATAATTGGGGATATAATCCCTACACAAATTAAGGAAGTGAATAATTTTTAAACTTTACACTGCTCTGTCAGCTGACTCATAACCACCTGATTTTACTCTCATTAGATTCAGAATAACGATTCAATGGAGCATGCACAAGAAAATTTAAGTGTATCTGTCACCGATGGTATATTTTCAACAGAACGATAAACGTCGAACCATTGATGAAAACTTCCTACCATAATATTAGAATTCCACTGATGGGCATTCATTAAAATGTATGCAAAAGACAACTGTTGTAAGGTTTTTATATGAACGAACTTCTGCGCTAAGAGATAGGTACTATCAATTCACTGTAACAAGCGTATGTTTGCCGATAGTATTGTACATAGTAACAAAATGCCAAGAGAACAATACTAGGCAATTAGAGGAGGATCGGCCCTATAACGGACAGTGATCTATAAAGCCTTAACATACACAATTTAACTGCCTGCTGTTTGGACACATTAAAATATAATCAGTTGTTAGTCCACGAACAGAAATTATTGCCCATAGGTACTAAGTAAATTAAAGACTTTCCAAGATTTAAAAGAATACGATGGAAGTTGAGACACTCACTTATCATGACTCAAATAGTGTCATATGATGTTTCCTTAAGTCTTAAAAAAAGCTGATGCATGTACTATCAAACCGCAGGAGTAAATGCACTCGAAGCTCAAAGCAAATACAATTCCCTGAATTCCATTTGAGTTATTGACAAATGGAGCTCTGAAAATCAGTACGTCGTCACAAACTAAATGAGAAAAATGCTGATAAAAAATCAACTTAGCCTTCTAAAACAGCTGTAGGATAAGGCACTGATGATGAAAATACATAAAAGACCCATTACTGTAGGTTATGAAGTTTTAAGTTAGTTGTTTGAGTTATCGGGTTGGTAGCGCGGTACAACACAGTTTCGCTTTCCCTGTCATCTGTTGACATGTCTTCTTTCCGTGCTGCAGGTTTGGTTGCACGGCAGCTGTTCAGTAAAAATGTATGCCTGAGTTTACTTATATATGCGTCTAAATTTTTTTAATTCATTAAGACTGAGGATGTTACATTCCTTGTTGGATTCTTAAGATTGGTTCTGATAGTTTTGTGAAGATTAAGGTTTAGTAATTATTCTAGTCATATTTACCTTCATATAATACTTCTGGTGGCATTAGTGCTTTAGCTATGTTAACTCACAGAGTCCATATTAGTGTATAATGTCTTATCATTGAGGCATCAGTGGTCCATTGCTACTAGATACGGATCCCATAAAGCCAAAGTTCTTCCTACTCCGCTCGAAAACATATGTACTCTCTAAGTATCAAGTCAGACTACGCGCATAACACCTGAATAAAAGAATTTGTTGGTCAAGTTTTCCGTTGGCCGTTATGTAAATAGTAATGAAAGTGAGTAGTCAAGTTAGTTCTGTAGGAGAAATTCATCGGTGAATTGACGCGTAACATTGCATCTGGCAAAGATTATCAGGTGTATATGCTCCGGAAGATTTAAACTTTGAGCTAATGTTCGGACCTAGATATGTGGTTTAGAATCCGTAGGATCTTATTGATATACTAAAATCTTGAAGTCAGTATTTTCGTTCGTTCGAATTTTCTTTTGTCGACTTGATCAAAGTATCGGTTATCGTTAAACCAATCTAATATAAATTATTTTTTTCCGAAATGTTAATAATACTCAACTGTTTTCTTTGTCACAAGTTCATATGGATAACCACTTAGTATTTTTTTGTATGAAGCTGCTGAATTCAGTATTCGCTCGACAATCTATGGGCTTTTCAAAATATTAAGAATTCACTCCTCTAGTCAATCTCGTAAGACGTTTTACGTCTCACTTTTCGAAATGGGGTTTGTCGAACGTTATCTAAGCGCCAGATAAATTATCTGTAAACGTGCAAATACTTTATGTAGATCCTATGATCATCGGTTGTTGGTTAGATGTTCAGGAAAACGTACGAACAATAAGACATCTACATGTTTACTGACAATAAACTACACGGTATAGTGTATTTGTTGAAGCCAGTACGTAGTGAAACAGCTTAATAGAGTTCACAAGAATTGTTGTAAGTATAATTAAGTCATGTCGATTCACTACAAGAATGTACACGGCAAAACTTTTGACATCAAGCTTACAAAAACATACTTATTGATTTTTAGGATATATTCTAAAGTTTCGCCTAACTGTCGGCTTTTGAAGTGTTATATTGCTAAGTGTACTAAGAAATAACCCCTATGTACTCAGGCTGACCAACTGTTATTCAGTCACTGATTTAACGGTTACAACACTTTACCTCTAGCCTTTGAGTTACATCTATGAGTCCTTTCCCACTTGCCTCGGCTTGATCAACTAGGTGACAGCGCACACTCCCTGCAAATACCAAGTATACAAGTATGTGCTTTGCTTCAGTACTGCATCACTGCGGATAAGACATTTTCCCTCTAATAAGTCTTAGATTTCTGTCGCTTCATGTAGTTCAAGATCGCTTTTGTAACTAGAGCACAGTGTCCGACCTCTAAGTTACGAGCTAGACTCTCCTTCCACCGGTTTGTACTGTTGGGTAATACCGCTAGCGCACATACATGCTATGAAGCTACATTATCATTTTTGATTTAAGGAACACTAGATAAAAGTGGAAAGAGAAGGCACCTATGCCAAAGCTTTTAATTATTAGCTACAGTAACCGGTCCCCAACCGTGTGATCTACATCTACCCATATGACTCAACTCAACATTCAGTGACTTCATGCTCTCATACCACGTTTTCATCTGTCCTGGCCCGTAGCTTCCTCCCTCTGATACCCATGCATTAGATGACTGTCATGTTTCACCATTTTCCTGTCTGATAACTTGATTCCTGGAGTTGATTTTATTTTGATCACATGATTTACATCAAATCAACAATAACTCAGAAAAAATGGCCTTCCGATAAAATAATAGAAAGCCGCTTGTTTCAGTTCTGTAAAATACTGATTTGGAGCTGTTTATAACACCTTTTGTCTCTGCGTCATGCTATCATGGAACCCACATTGTTTACTTGCGAGTTATCAGTTTAGCACCTGCTGCATCTTAGATCAACAAGCTGTTCGGTTGCTCCACTGTACCAGGATTGATGTATGCTAAAGTATGACAGAATTATGCAACAAACAATTAGTGCATGCAGTTCCCACTCCGATTGTTTACTTGTTGTGATTAATCAGTTTCAAAAGATCAGTAACCTGTGCCATGTTGCCGGCTACTTGTATCGAGTCAGTAAAAGTAAATGTATTTAATCCAGTTGCACCATATACTTTATTATTAACACACAGCACATATATTGCTGCTGACCTATACGCTTATTGCCGTCATTTTATTTGTAGGTATTTAACCAACCTGGACACCGATGGCTATCCACTTCATCTGTTTTAAAAGCTGGAGCCCCAGAGTTCTCCAGCATATTAGAGGAACGTATTTTGGGACAAGCACTACAAACTAACTTGGAGGAGACTGGACGTGTTTTAAGCATCGGTGATGGGATCGCGCGCGTCTATGGTCTGAAGAACATTCAAGCAGAAGAGATGGTTGAGTTTTCATCTGGATTGAAGGTATAACTATTCAAAATGTTAACGTCCCTTAGGGTATGGCTCTAAATCTGGAACCTGACAATGTTGGAGTGGTCGTTTTCGGGAATGATAAACTAATCCGTGAAGGAGATATTGTCAAGCGTGCAGGGGCCATTGTTGATGTGCCTGTTGGTGAAGAACTACTTGGTCGGGTAGTCGACGCTTTAGGTAACCCAATCGACGGAGCAGGTGCGATCAATACGAAGACAAGACAGCGTGTTGGAGTCAAAGCTCCCGGCATCATACCACGTATTTCCGTTCGTGAACCTATGCAAACTGGAATTAAAGCTGTTGATAGTCTCGTTCCCATTGGACGTGGTCAGCGTGAACTGATCATTGGAGATCGTCAGGTACTTTTAGGTTTTCAGTAATGTAATTTGTTTCTAGACAGGTAAAACAGCCATTGCAGTTGACACTATTATCAATCAAAAACGTTTCAACGATGCCGCTGATGAGAAGAAAAAGTTGTACTGTATATATGTTGCTATTGGACAAAAACGTTCAACAGTTGCACAACTGGTCAAACGTCTGACTGATGCAGACGCCATAAAATACACAATCATTGTGTCTGCAACAGCATCTGATGCAGCTCCTCTTCAGTACTTGGCTCCATACGCAGGGTGTGCAATGGGTGAATATTTTCGTGACCATGGAAAGCATGCATTAATCATTTATGATGATTTGTCTAAACAGGCTGTTGCTTATCGACAAATGTCACTTCTGCTACGAAGGCCTCCGGGGAGAGAAGCCTACCCTGGTGATGTATTTTATTTACACTCTCGCTTACTGGAGAGGGCTGCCAAAATGAATGATACATATGGAGGTGGTTCATTAACAGCTCTTCCAGTCATTGAAACTCAAGCTGGTGATGTGTCTGCCTACATTCCAACTAACGTCATCTCTATAACTGATGGGCAGATTTTCTTGGAGACAGAATTGTTCCATAAGAGTATAAGACCTGCTATCAATGTCGGTCTTTCTGTTAGCCGTGTTGGGTCTGCTGCACAAACTAAAGCTATGAAACAAGTTGCTGGTCGCATGAAACTAGAGCTAGCTCAGTATCGAGAAGTAGCTGCTTTTGCTCAATTTGGTTCTGATTTAGACGCATCAACTCAATCGCTCTTAAATCGTGGTGTTCGTTTAACGGAACTTTTGAAACAAAATCAATATGGTATGTAGATTTATAACTAATCACTTATATTATTTAGCTCCTATGGCAATCGAACAACAGGTTGTTGTAATATACGCTGGTGTTAGGGGACATTTGGATAAGTTGGACCCATCAAAAATTGTCCACTTTGAGAAAGATTTTCTGAAGTTTGTCCTAGCAAACCATCAAGATATCCTAAAGACCATTCGTGAAGAAGGAGAACTAAAACCAGCGACTGATGAAAAACTGAAAAAGATTGTAGTTGATTTCTTGGCTGGGTATCAAGCGTCTCCATAGGTAACCAGATAAAATATGCAACTGCGGTAGTATCTTTTCATAGGATTGACAAGGTCAACAATGTTATTTGCAGATTTCTGTCGCCAGTTGTTTGTACTTAGCCTTAATAATAATTCTAATTAAATTATCTTGAAATCAAAGTGTTTCGACTGTTTTTTGTATGGTGTTTAGATTGGGAGACCGAATAGTTGACTAGTATCTTTCGATGCATCCAACTAAATATATGGTTATAAGTAAGATACTTGGTATATTTATCGGTTGTGGCAAAATTCGAATTATTATTACTAAATAACCGTATAAACATTATACATATTGACAGGATTTTCACTGCCAAATCTTAGAATTAAGCCTATGAACTGTGTTCTGTTTGTCTGAATATATCACTTAATCGTGTTTACTGCCTGTGCTCGTAATTATTGTACTGCGTGGAGGTTCACAATGTTAGTGAAAGTTCTTTACTCGTACCAATTTTCTTATCAACGATCTTGAACCTATACTATTATGTAGTTGGAGAATATTACTTCAGGAAAATATAAATGCCAATTCAACAATTGTCCGGCATTTAACAAACTCCTGTCGTATCGGTGGTCTTTACGATCATTCACAAATATTCGAAGCAGCAGTGCTCTAGTTCAAGACTGATAAACATGACATGAAAATTTAGGGAGTTCAGGGTTGAGATTTGACACTCTTAAGCAGAATCGATCTAAGCTAGACAACTGGAAATCCAGATGCACCGGACGGCCGCTTCCTAGTGTAGAACTCAGATCGGTTCGTGATTTCAGTGACATTCAACAATCTTCACAACCCCTACTAATGAATAATCTTGTGTTTACTTATAGATATGGGAGATAAATAAGTTGAGGGTTATAAACGTCTGGAAGTATGACCTAAACCAACCTTTATTTAGATGGTGTAGGAGGAAGACGAATATTATCAGACATACTTCCAAGTAGGTGAGAAGACAACTCAATCAATTGATCCATTTTTAGAAAACCAACTTAAGCTAGTTTCTTAGTTGCTGATAGCGGAGTGAAGTTGCTTAACGAAACATTGATGAAGGATGGTTACTCCTTAAAATCCATAAACCGATGATCAAGTCAGACCTACTACATCTTTGGCACAGCAAAAGTCTATCGATATCGCTCTATAATTCAGAAGTGAGTCAAATAGTCTTATGTTGTAACAAGGGCTTCAGTCTGATATCAGTGAAACGCGCTGCCTAGCAAAGGTCATTATCATTAAAAAAAGTCCTCGCTTCATGGAAAACCTTATCGGCACGTAAACAATTGCAGCACATCCCACTGTGTTTGTCAGTTTATGTGTGTAGCCACCTAGGAGGAGTAATTGTAATTTACGAATTTTGTACGTAAATGGTTGTAAGAAACAAATGAAATCAACTAGTCTAATACGAGTAGATGATGAACATCCATTGTCCTCTGTTGCCAAATACAGTTGAGACCCGTCACAAGATTAATCTTAACTCCGCTTTTGCGGAGTTGTACAGTAGCATCTAACTGCGTACACTAATGTTTAGTAAAGCGTTGACTATACTACAATTTAACCTCCCCTTCCACTATGTATTTAAAAACGGTTTGTTCCTACCATAAACCCAGCCTGGTAATATTTCCTTCTATTCAACGCGGTAAGTTTCACACTATTACCTTTACTATCTCACTCTATGTCTAGTTGACCTTTTATTTTTCGTATATCAATGTTCTTGACAATTGTTCGAAATGTTTTACACAAACATATCTTATAGTTCTGATAATCTTCGTATTTTTATTACACTGTTCAGATTTATTAAATGTACTATTTGCCTTCAATCTTTATATTATTAATCACTCAACTGTAATCGTCGATTTCTGATCACTTTTTAAAATTCGTTGCATAGTCGAATAACATTTAGATTGCGAGTTCGCATAAGGACATGCTCATACCAGTGAGGCGGATATAGTTTGTGAGATACTTGTCTAGTCTACAACCCCATTCTTTCACTCGACCGAAGCTGCTACCTTGACTTGGTGGTCGGGCTTGCCTATCGTGATGACCCAACCGAGCTATATTGGCTGGAACTTATGTTCCTGAAGGTTCTAACCTGCGAGGTAGGTCGATTGGAGAACGATGAGACTAAAAGCAGCTACTCGAGGTCTGAGGGCGAAGTCGTACTGCTGACTGCAGAGGGGTGTGACGGCATTAAGGTGTTTCCCTCGGAAAACCAGCATCTGTAGCGATGCTGCCTTCTCACAAGGAAGGAAAGGTTAGAAAAGGTTGACCCTAAAAATGTCACACCTCACCCTACCTCACGGGTTTCCGTCTCCGTCGGTAAGGGTGCCCACTAAGGGCTTTCAAGAGCGGAGCTAGCACTCAAAAAACCCTTCATAAAAAGGCCGTGCGTGACCGGCCTCAAGCATCTGTCCTTTGGGCTATGCGGTCACGCTCGCAGGTCGTTCAGACCAACGCTAATCTACCTTCCTTTTCAGGTCCCTCAAGAAACAACCTTCCACGGTGTGGGCAGCCGGGAAGTGACAACCGCCCTCATACCCGTAACAGCACACGAGACCAAATTGGTCAAAATCAAATCCTTCCTACACCCACACACACCTCTCTTCTCTCCATGACTAACTCTTCTCACATTCCTTTATCTCACTGCACCGCTAATGCAAACGATGCGAGTTCACGGAACGTCACTTCTGGTCTCTTGAAACCGGGATCTAGACTACATGTTGGAGCATTTAATGTACGGACATTGTGTCAAATAGGGCAACAGGCTTCATTGGCTACGACTTTAGAATCTCGTGCCATCGATGTATGCTGCGTCTCGGAAACGCGCATACAGGATCCTAGTAAAATTGTTAATATGATTTCACCTTGTCAAAATAAAGAAGCAGCTCGATTTACTCTTCGTGCATCTGGAAGCCCTGATGCTGCTTCCAGGCGTAGGCATAGCATTGAGTCGTAGAGCTGAACAATCTCTCCTTGACTGGATCCCAGTAGATAGTCGCTTGTGCGCTGTCCGACTGAACGGGACAGTAAGGACTCGTAAAGATAGGGACACTCACCGTTGCCTCTTCGTAATATCTGCTTATGTCCCCACTAACTGCAGTTCAGACGAGGTTAAAGATGAGTTTTACAGAAAGTTTTCGGACCTCCCAAAAAACTAGGCGCTCTGATATAGTAATAATGGCTGGTGACTTTAATACTCAAGTAGGTAGGCTAAGTGGAAATGAAAGACTCGAGGAAATCAGGCTGGTTTCATACCTGGACGCTGATGTATAGACCACATTTTCACACTACAACAGGTCCTGGAACATAGACACACGTTTAGGCGCCCGACAATAGTTGTCTTCCTGGACCTTAAGGCGGCATTCGAGTTAGTGGGTCGTGAAGTTCTGTGGCAGTGTCTATCATCCAAAAATGTACCAAAGAAGTACAAGCTCTCTACTCGAACACCACTCGTCGGGTGAGAGTTTATGGCGACGTGTAATTGGAATTCTTTACTTATCTTCTCAATTGTTGCTAATAATTCTACTATCGCTATCACTCTTGGATTCGAACTGACAGTTGCGTCTCCATGCTGATGTGGTATGGCAACCTGAACTAATGTACCTACGTACGAAGTTCTGCGTTGTATCTGTCTGTCCCATTCTTTCACATTTCGTGAGTAAAAAGTGTATGATAGCAAAATATTATAACTGTTTTTAGTATTCATTGTTTCAGTTGAGTTTATAGCTTCTTTTTAATTTCAGAAATATCTCAATTCGTCTGACTGCATGACAACAAAAGTTATTTATTTAAAATAAGTTACCATATACTGCTATTTATCCATTTATTTCGCTCTATAAAAATATGCAGTGTTTTTATTTCAGTGTTAAATATACAATTCAAAATGTTATATTTTATTAGTTTTACTAGTTTCTCTTTTGTACATTTTTTTCAAAACTCAAATCTTCGAGTAGAACACATTCCCATTTACGTACTTTTTGTGCAGAAATAATGTGCTTCTGTGTTAGGACTGTGATTAGTTTTCTTTCCAAAACAAAATTGCACATACTTAAACTTGGACAAATTCTTTTCGTGTACAATACACAACTAGGTCAAATGATCGATAACATTTATTGAAGGGATTGATAATAATCAACCAATCACAGTGTAGATACTGAAAATAAACTTGTATGTCTGTTAAATATTTAGCTTTATAATGGAAACTATACAGTTTTGCATTTTGTACACTTTTAAAAGATAATGAAATACATAACTTACAAACATAAATGAAAGTAGTGAAGTGTAGGTTTAAGAATTAACAACAATAGCTAGATACATTTGGTTTGTACTACTGAGTGCTGATTATTGATTCTGCATTTGAGATATGCATACGCTAATAACTCTATCTTCTTTAAATATAATCCTCGTTAACAAACGTTCATTCAAAATCACGAATATATGCTTCGTCCTGTTGTGAAAATTTTACCATACTCTCTGGTTCAATTTTTTCGATGTTTGACCTTTGTCAATTCGGCTGTTCGAACTATGCCCCTGCTTTAGTTGAAATAGTGTAGCACCATTACTGAATTATTTAAGAAATCTTGATCTCTAACTCACTACAATGGCCTTTATCGAACAAAGGATTTACATCGAAATACCAGCTATACTATGGGGGAATGGTTTTAATTCATTTCCTCCATTTCTATGTAAAAATAAAGGTCCTATTATCAGTTTGCTTATTTGAAATGAGCAGTCTATCAGATTCACTGGAATAGCGGTTGAACTCAACTCAATAACGTCAAAAGACTGTCTTGGTTACTCGGAAAAATTTATACTTACTGTACATAAATGAGATTCTACAATCGTAATTCATGAAATTTAAGTTGATATTCAAGGTGATTAAAAGACTAAAACAGTCAATCGCTAAACAACCTAATCTAAATATAATAGGTTCAAAATGGCGATCACTGCAAAAACATCAATTAATCCGTCAATAGTCAGTTCAACTAATGATTTACTAGAAAAAAAAATGAATCCTGACTACTAATAAGTAATACAGTCATAAACGAGAATTTCACACAATCTTCGTCGTTTTATTTTAGCACTCCATTTTGTAGTTTATTGTTTAGTACTTCTTATTCATTGTCAAACGTATTAAGGTTTGCTATGTTCCATGTTAAATTGTTTTTAGTGTTCATCAAGGTCTGACAGTTGAAGAACTACTGAAAGTAAGAGACCACCAGAAAGCTGTTTCTTCATAGGTTGTCTCGTCAAAACTGATACTCACCTACGACTCCATGTTCTGTGTCGAGGTTGGTATCGGTAGATCCTTATGCCAAAATAAAGTAACTACATAAAAAATTTGGGGATATCGTTTATCTATCGAACCTATGGTTAATGATGACTGCATTTGTTTATCAATCAGCCTATGCCTCACTGTATGTAGATCAGAAACCTGAAAAACAATGTTACACTGTGAGCTGAATTTCAAATACCTAAAGTGATTTGACACAGCTTATTATTTTTAATTCTTTCATTAGCCTGTGGCTACATTATACTTAAAGAAATTATTGTTATCAATTAAGAAATAATTAAAGTATGTTTCTGTCATCTAAACAGCTTTGGGATTGATTTGTTTCCTTCTTTTTGGGAAAGAATAAAAATTGTTCCTCAAAATTGCTAGGATTGTCTTATTCTCATTGAAAATTCATGCCATTCATCATGGTAAACAGTTAGATTCATATGCGCTGCTGCTAGATATAACCTTATCCTCGTCCGACTTTCTACCAGGAAAATCGCTTATTTAGCCAAAATGTTGCTTCAGGATTGGCTTGCGACTTCACCAGAACTAGTGATTGGGAGTGAATTAGTCAAACGTGTAGACCGCTTCACGTGTCTGGGGAGTCTCATCAGTGCTGATGGCCTGGTGACTGACGGAATTTCAGCACGGATACAGAAGTCTCGATTAGCATTTGCCAACCTGCGTCACTTATGGCGCAGGCGAGATATCCGCTTATTAACCAAAGGACAAGTGTAATGTTCAACAGTTCGCTCCGTCCTACTATACGGATGCGAAACATGGCCGTTAAGAGTAGAGGACATTCGTAAATCACTAGTCTTCGATCATTGGTGTCTCCGAAGCACTGCTCGCATATCCTGGGACAACCGTATAAGCAATCCTGTCGTTATGAAACGAGTTCTAGGTAGGGATGGCAAATCAGTAGATGAAGTGAAACTTCATCAGTTGAGGTGGTTTTGACATGTGTTACGTATACCCAACCACTGACTGCCGCGATGTGGTGTAGGTTGGAAGAAAGGTAGGGGTGACCATACCAAAACATAGAAGAAATCCATTAAGTCACTGACAAGTGGACTGAGTTATGTTGGTAGATGTAGGCTACCTGGTTGGGGTCCGCGAGACGAAAGTCACCAATCGTTAGAGACCTCGAACAACATGGCTCAAAATCGTCTGCAATGGCGCAGATGCATCCATTCACTGTGTTCTCTCAAATTATAATCTTCTGAATTCCTTATCATCTCTATCTTAAATTATCTCACTGAATTATACTTCCCGAATCATATCTTGGAACTCTAATCTTCTCCACTGCTGCTAATATCTCTACAACTATGGGATTTGAACTGACAGTTGCGTCTCTGTGTTGATGTGGTATGGCAACCCGAACTCATGTATGAAGTTCTACGTTGAAACTGACTGGCATCATAAATCTGACATGAGTAGTGTTTTATTCCGGTGTGAAGTTAGTTAAAAAAAAATAAACTACGAAGTTTGTCAAGAGCAGATTTATGGTTATCTGTAATAGAATAATACTTCAAATTTAGACTGTTGACTTGGGATGTTAATCAAATTGGATAGGATGATTTGAAATTGGCTTGGTTACTAGTTTTTTTCAGGTAATGAAATGATTCTGAACAGGTTAAACTCTTTAATTGGCTAAATTAACTGATGTACCAATTTAGGCACAACTAATTTAGTTTATTTAGTTAGACTTTCTTTAGCATATCAAGCTTGACATAATTTTTTGTCTGGATAGGAACCTGAATTTTCGTTGGATTTACTGATGACTGAGCGGTCTACGCCCGTTTCTGTCATTACACGCTTACGTGAATTATCCTAACTCTTCGAGAAAAATCAGCCTAATATTTTTGAGTTATTATGTAGACATATTTGACCTTGCAAATTATTCACTAGTATTTGTTTATCGCTTACTCAATTTTTCACGTCTTTAACTTGGTATTTCTATTGGACTATAAATGTTCAATCATATTCAATAAAATCAAGTTGGTTATTTCTACTGCTAAAGTTAACATGAATTACTTTTCTTCTCTTGTCGCTCGCCAATGTTTTTTAAATACTGTCGTATTCCAGACAGACAGATACAACGTAGAACTTCGTACGTAAGTACATCAGTTCAGGTTGCCAAACCACATCAGTACAGGGACGCAACTGTCAGTTGAAATAAAAGAGTGATAGCGATAGTAGAAGTATTAGCAGTAATGGAGAAGATTAGGGAACAAAGATATGATTCGAATAGTATAATTCAGTCAGATAAATTTAGAAGGAGAAAGGTAGAGATTATGAGGAATTCAGAAGCTTGGAATTTCATAGAACATAAAGAGTGGATTCACTTGCGCCATTGCAAACGATTCTGAGCCATGTCGTTCAAGGTCTCTAACCATCGTTGACTATCGTCTCGCGGACCCCAACCACGTTGCCTACATCTACCGACATGACTAAGTCCACTCGTCAATGACTTCATGGATTTCTGCCATGTTTTGGTCTGGCCGGCCCTAGCTTTCTTCCAACCTACTCCTACACCACAAAACAGCTCGTCGAGGCAGTCGGTGATTAGGCATTCGTAACACATGTCAAAACCACCTCAACTGATGAAGTTTCACTACTTCATCTATCGGTTTGCCATCCTTACCTAGAACTCGTTTCCTAACGACAGCATTGCTTATACGGTTGTCCCAAGATACATGAGGAATGCTTCGGAGACACTGATGATCGAAGACTAGTAACCTACGGAAGTCCTCTACTCTTAACGGCCAAGTCTCGCATCCGTACAGTATTCCACTTTTTACATCTAAGTAGTTCTTGACGTGATTTGTTGACAGAATAAATACGAAACGAACTGGGGCATATATTGCATTCACATACTTAAGAATTCGATCACAGCGAAAAGTTCCTTTCTAAACAGCCTAATGAAACTATTTGAATGTTTAGCTTATTAAACCTGTCAAACGTTGATAGGTAAATACAAGAAGCGTGATTACAGGAAACTATTAGTTATTGAATATACAATTCACAGCCATAAACAGAATATACAGATAAAATAGAGACTTTAAAAAACATTCTGCTTGAAGTTAAAACGAAAAGAGAATGGATAATTAGGTGTAGAAAACTAAAAGGTATATATATATATATATATATATATATATAATGCTTCGGTATGCATAATCCAAAGGGTAGATACAAATAAAACAATGGTAAGAACACAGTAATTCTCTCAAAAATTAGAAGAGAGAGAGGATATCACAGTAAATTAACATTTCAAACGGAAATGGGAGGTGGAATGGGTGGCAGTGGCGTACCATTAGTTTGTGTGAGACGGATTTGTTCAGCTGAGAAATTTGGAACTGTATAGGTGGATGGAATATATTTTGCTGTAGAATGACTACTTGTAGTGTTCACGCAGTTCGGAGCTGGGATGTACCTAGGGAGAGAGAAGATAATTATTTAGGATGGGGATGGAATATACCTAAACGACCACAAATAGATCTAGGCTTTGAAAGAGGCAGTGACAATCACCCAATCAATGCAATCGATATATAACTAGTTAAACTAAGCGTACTTTGAATTTTATTGGGGTTATTGCCAACAAAGCTTCCATTATGAAATCGGACTTCGTTCTCTAGTTAGCATGGAAGGAAAATTAGTTTTGTTTGCTGTATTAAATTCAGTGTTAATAATATATTAGTCTAGCATGCGAACGTATGAAACAGTGCATGTTCATCAACGGAGGTAGCTAGTACATATTACTTATGCCAAACCATCTACCTTGACACATGGTGTTTGCGAGTGTAAGAGTGAGTTGGAAACAAGCTGAGTGTCGATGTCCGTTGGACTGAACAGTAAATGTGTGCGTCGAATACTTAGTTCGAGTATGCACGACTATTGTAACATTGGGCGATGTAGCGCAGATGCATTCACTGTCTTTTCTTACAGAGCATGTTTTGAAATTAATTCATACTTTTGATTGTGAAAATTTATTCTTTGCTCTATGTTTAATATTTTCTTCTACGGCTGCTACTGTTAATAAAGCTATTACTCTAGTATTACTCCAGAAGACTTAATCGAAATATGCATATATAGAGTATCACCTTAAAACTATGCAAGCATGCCAAGTTCTGTGTTACTTATGATTGACTGACTGAGTACTTCAGCGACCTATTGTAATAAACACCTCGAGAAGACGAATAAACACTAAGTAGGAGTAGTGAAAATCCAAAACCAGTCACTAGAAAGAGCGGTTTTAATTGAGAAGCAGAGTAACAAGGAAATATTCATATAAGATACACTCTAAGGTTCCCCATTTCTATTTACGGCTTTCTTTAGATAGACGAACTCGCTTGAAACTTTGGAAAAGACAAGAGTTATAAAGCTTTGAAGTAGTCTCATACTAAACACAGTAACCCAAGATGTTTATAAGCGAGTGACTGATTTCATCTCTGATGTCATTCACATTTATGTGCATTTATTGCCATTTGGCTTTTAGTAAATGTAATACTGCAAAAGATCAATCAGTCAATAGCGACGTAGAACTTTGTACGTATGTACATCAGTTCATGTTGCCATACCACATTAGCACAGAGATGTAAGTCAATTACATCTCGGCAAAAGAATGGTTTCTCAGTAAAAATGGGTCTCTCGGCTTACTACGCTTTATTTAATCAAAACTATGTGTTAAGTAAATCACAACAATAGAGTTATTAAACAATTCCCAATGCTAATGAAATGTGGTGTGCTATCACCCTCTAAATAAAAATAACTGAATGACAAGTATTAATATTGGTTGGTAAATTTTTATCATTATTATAGTCACTTCCCTACTCTTGTTTTTTTTTTCTACAATAATGTCCTTCAATTTAGTGCGATAATTTTCGGCGTACTAATGTTGTTTAATTTACAGGTTGTAACTTGAATAATTTAAGGATGTACATGAGATGCAGCCAGGAAATTTCAAAACTTCAAATACTATTGTTGTAAATAAAGCTTATGTTTCATCAACAAAATGGCAAATTCTTAGAACGTGATAACATACCTGTTGGCCGATTGAGATGTATTGTCCAGTATATCTACCGTAAATGAAACCACTGAAGGAGGAGCTGATGCATGCCTTATAGGTGGTGGCTTACAAATATTTAGTCGAACCAAGACGTTGTAAACCGCACTAGATATTACAGAGACAGGTGGGCCTAAATGGTTTGGGAAGAAGCTGTGACATATATTTGAGACAAAATTATTCTTACCCAGCAAACGTGAAGTTATCACCGACATCTCCAAGTAATCCATTACTGTGTCGTTGGAAGAAACGCAAGTACGTCCACGCAATAAATATCCCAGACACAAATAGCGAAAAGGATATGCCGGTACAAAACCCGACGCTAAACAAAAGGCCAAAAAACAATGCAGATATGAATGGTATGTGTTTATAGCGAATTTTTCCTAATGGGAAATCGACCAATAGCTTGTCTGGCATCATCTGACGGCTTAGTACGGTGACTCCACCTAAAAGTGCGACAAGACCGCAAACAGGATACAAATAGAGGACACTCCTGTCAAACATGATGAGAGAAATTAGGAAAAGAACTAAAGTAACAGATAAAGACGAAGAAAAGTTTACTAGTACACCAAACCGAAGTAGTTCAAGCCATTTATAAGAACCGGATAGTAACTTGTCCATAAGAAACACAGTCAGAAGATCCAAAGAAAGAAGTATGAAAGAAAAGTTGTAAAAAGAAAAAGTGAAAAGTGTCCAGAACCGAAAATAAGGTGGTAGAAGATAACCCCCGACAATGCAGAAGTACGAGTTCATGTTAGGGATGTATGATAAAGAATAGCATATACATTGTATACACATTACAAACTTCGTCTGCCATCGGCAATCACAGACTTTGCTGTTGCGTAGAGCTAGAGCGAAGTTCATTGTCGAGTCGTTTAGACTTCTGAGCCTAAACTACCTGCTTGCAGAAACTTCACATACACTCAAAACACCATGTCACCTTCAGATTTAAAAAGTGAGACCCTAACTTTCAATATCTAATATCTTTCTCACGGGCTGCTATGAACCAATGAATTTTTTTGTGCTTGATTCTTGTTCCTTCGGCACGGTTCCAGGTGTAGTTTCCAATGAATGGCCACTAGACTGTCCAATTCTAGTCTGTTGGCAGTTGGTTGTGAGTTTCTATGTCTCGGGATTCGAATGAAAACGTTTGATTCAGGTCAGTAGCGTTTCTGGATACCAGCAGCTATCGTAGTACCAGACCGAAGATCAGTTAGTTGAAGTGTGGAGAATTATAAGTAGAAATTTCTAATGGTAATAACAGCGTTTTAAAACTAAGTAATATATAGATAATGTTGTTTATTAATTGGTCGTGCAGATTGTGAGAGAGGGCCAAAGTGTAAGCAAGGTAGAGGAAACAGAGATAATAGGCGAGAAATAATAAGCTAGTGATCTAGGAAGATGTCAGCAATAACAACTAGCAGGTCTCAAGATATGCATCATGCACAAATTGTTCAAGAGGGATATGATAATCCGTATGTGAGTAGGTGATTATCAAGTCTCTTCTAAAAGTTGTTTATTGAGGGGACTTTGGTCACCTCTGCAGGAAGAGCATTTCAAGTTGCGACGAATCTCAATGAGAAAAAGTGTGCACGAACCTGAATATTCGCTCTTTGATGTGCAATTTTTGTCAAATGTTGAATAACTTTTTCACGAGCTAGTATAAAAAATTGATTTCTTTTGCTTTCGATACGGTCCCAGGTATCTGGTTATGTCCAAAGGATGATGGTTTAACCACTTGACTGCCCTAATTCTAGTTATTTGGCAGTTGTTAGTGAATTCATATGTATTGAGTACGTTTAACTCAATGCAGTGAGGCTTCTGGTTAACAGCAGCTATCACGTTACCAGGCTGAAGATCAGTTTATTGCATCGTGGAGAATAATAAGGAGAATATTTTGATACTAATAAGTTATAAGAAGTAAGTAAAGTAATTGGTAGGGAAGATTGTTCGAGAGGACTGAAGCGTAAACGAGGGAAAGGAAACAGAGATCATGAGCTGGAAAGATTAAGTTAGTGTTCTGAGGAAAAGGCAATAATAACAACTAACAAGTCTCAACACATAAATCAGTTACTGGTGGTCTAACATTCTTGCGGAAACTTGATTTATCTGATCTTATCTCTAAATTATAAAATAAGATTTCAGAATCTGAATAAAGTTAAATAATGTTAGTTTGGCTACTTTGTTAAAGAAGTTTTAATTTCTTAAGTCAAGCAATTGTTGTATTGCCAAATTACTTAACGTTGGTAAAAGAGTAAGTTGCCTTCAGATGACATTTTAGCAGAGAGAGAACCATATAGGTTGAGAGTGGGTAATAATTCTGTTGGATTCAAGTATTCAGGAATATGCTGTAGAGCCTGTCGAATGTAAATGAACCCCAGTCAAATCACCTATCATGCTGAATAGTCTACAAGTTAGGAGACTGTTCAGCAGATGTTAAAATGCTTCAGGAATACCTACAGGGCTAAGCATGAATATCATTAATTGATCGAAACGTGTCATGAGATTAGAGTAGGCAGAAGTCAGTCTCTCGTGCATATTCCTCTCGTATCTAAATAAAGCAATATCGCGGTACAATCATTTCTGTATTGTGCGAAAACTCTGCAAGAAAATTACTGCATGATGTAACTGAAATAAATTAAGCTCTCACACCATTTTACACAAAGTGACATGTAATTTTTTTGTAATAAATGTTCGACAGTGATCTGAATCTCTTTTCACTTTTGCTCTGATATCTGAAATATTCAACATAAGTGAACTAATTTTTACAGCAACTATTTTCATCAAATCAGAAGCCGAGGTAAGCTCTCTGCGTCAGCTCATGTAATGAGACTTTGCACGTTGGATATATATTTAGCCAACAGAGATGTAGATCATCCAAAAACATGCGCTACATTGCAGTAACATGAAAGTATTGTAAGTCATGTTTATCACCCAAACCATTCCATGGAAAGGGTGATATACAAAATAACAATCCACGTATGTTCAACAGGCTTTCTTTAGACCATGAACTGGTACAAGTAGTGAAATTTTGATTGCATTTCTTTGATAAGTTTTGCTCTTTAAGATCCCTTCACTAAATCTACATATACTTGAAAGCCTGACTTTATGGGTAAGATTCTCTTTTATTATCTTTTATAATCTAACTACGCATTAATGTAGAATTTGATGCCTGACTTCAATCAGAATTTTGTAAGTGTACAGAAGTATATGAAGAGCGAATAGATACAAACTGTGGTAGCTGTACTGTCCGTTTCACTGAATGGTAAATTACTTAGAATACATAAGAATAGAACCATATATGAAATAAATGGAAGACACACATGATAAGAGTGAGCAAAAGTGGATACGTTTAAGAGGTGGTAGTGAATAACTGCCGTGAGCATATACATGAAGCTAGACAAGAAATAGCGCTGGCGAATGTAGCTATACATTGGTGCATGAGATGTAATTGATAAGGTTTTAGAAAGATATCTTAAGATCAGCCTTTCATATTGCTTCATAATGCGACCATACATCGAGTCAGATATTTATTAACAAACGGTTTATTAGGCAGAAATTTGGGTATATTGATCTTTGTACGGTTAACCTGCGGAAAAGCTTTTTTGTGAAGGACTTGGAATTAACACAAATAAGCGGCATTTTCTGTTCGGTTGTGTGGTTTGGACGATTTAAACTTAGATTAACCTTGCTTTCGTAGATTCTACATATTACAGCGACAGTAGTTTGCGATACTTGAAATTTTATGAAAACTATTGATTGCGGCGATTGGAATTAGAACTTTATGGTAAGGACATTGAGAACATCAATCAAATTTAATTCACCAATCTTTGTTAAAAGATATCCGAATGTGTGGAATAAGTTACCTACAAAATCCCGGTCAAGTCAAAATCTTACTGAACTTGGAACTTTCTTAGAATGTCTTATGTACCAGCATGGAATTTCCTATATTCTAGATGCGCCAACACTTAAGCTACACTTGGCGATAAGCTACAAGAGATCCAACACCTGTATTTGACATCCTAAATTTTGTAGATCACCATGACATACCACACTCTTTATAGAAATGTAGGGTTCAGATACTCGTATCTGCGCATGGTCTCGGCATCCATTAATCCAGAAACCTGAAATTTGACAAACATGCCTGTTTTAATATCACTAAATGTGAATAGCTTATAGGATTCATAAACATAACTTCCTGACAAAAGAGGCTAATCTTACACTTGAAGTGGGAACGCAATAAATGAAAAGACAACATTTCTTATTGTGCTCGTTTTGTTTAACTGTACTAAAAACGCTTACTTAAGCTATCTTCATTTAGTGTTGCCACCACCACTGATAACTTGCTGCTCGTTGTGTCGCCCTCTTTATCCTTCAAATGCATTCTTTTCCCTGGATTTATTTGTATTCATCGTGACGGGAGAGTAATTAGTATTTAGTGGTGACCATAGTTAATTTCGACTTGGTCACCACTAAATACGCTTCAAAATGTTAATAAGACCTACCTCTGCATACTACTCATTACCTTTTCAAACATAAATATTTTAGACAACATACGAATGGGAAATGTTCAACGAAGCTTCGAGCGGCGACTGCTCGGATGGAAAGATACTGAAATGCATAGAAAGATGCCAACATCTTTCCCTTTATGGCTCAGGATGTAACTAATCAATGATATTGATGTTACTTTTCCATGTCTACCACGTCTCCTACTCATGTTTGTAACCTCAAACTGTTTTCACTTCCTGCCAAAAAATCCTATTATATGCAACCCTGGATAATTATTTTGAAAAAAATGTTCATCAGTGACTTCTTGAATTACAGCGTTTAAAAAGAACAATAAATGAAACATCATCAAGGCATCCGTTCGTTGCGCCTTCGTCATTATATTTCGTGAATCTACATATTTTCTAACAATTTAGTTCTTTTGAGTCTCTGTTCATAAGATTATTTGCCCATTCGTTATTTTACTAGTGACTTGCCTTCACTTACCTACATAAGTGCAGGTGTACAGTTAGCGTTCTAATTAAAGGAAAACCAAACTTCTGAGTAATCATAATATGGTGCCTCCACATACATTTGAGTTTGTTCATAAACCATTTGACTGGGCTCTTTGGAGTAACTTTTTTGTGCTGAATACCGACCATCACAAAACTAGTTAGTCATTGGCCACTACAATAAATTTGTTTTATCGAAAAAAGTATCTGCTGAGTCATGACTCGGTTTTGAACGAGAATATTTTCTGTTCTGCTATTCTCCCGTTTCTCCTTATTTTTATTTTTCAGCAAGTCATTCTACTCCTAAAATATTAGCCTTGATAATTGGAGAAGACTCCGTTGCTTTACCCAGGAGCCAGTTAAAATTTTTATCTTGCGAATTCAACAAGATTATTTCACACTTGCATGCTGACCTCTTGTTATATGCAGATCTGCATTTACCGTACATTAGTTCACAACCAGCGGTTGTTTGTGGCAGTGAAACCCACGTAACTCGCGCCAACTATCGTATTGTGCATTCCAGAATCTAAAACATTATCTACAGGTTAATGTGAAAAATATTAGCGCTCTACAAAAAGCCAATGTAGCTGGTGGAATATTTACCTAACTGAACAAGCTTTTACGGAAAATATATTATCAATTTTTACATTTTGATCTTGAGTGCAAATAAGCATGCCTCCTCTAACATGTTATTTCAGAATAAATCATTATTATTATATATTTTTATATTTCCAAGAAAAGTTGGGAATGTTAAATCCCCAGAACTCGCTTGATAAATATCTTTATTTTGGATTTATTTCAGGGACCGATCAGTTGACCTTGAGATCCAATTTCCCACCAGCAAAATCCTTTGCTGTGATTGGTTAC